TTCTAGACCTCAACCAAAAATGAGGTCAACAAGATCCCTACACCTTCTTGAGAAGGGGACCTAGACCATGGATTAGAAGAAGACAAGCTTGGATAAGGAGCTAAGTTCCATCATTTCTTTTGCATTATAGATTCGGCAAATGGCTCCCACTTTGACAGCAACTGACTCTAACTCCGGCCAACACTGCCTACCAATTTTATACAACATCGCTTGTCAACTCTGGTTGTTGCCGCTCTGGAAAATTCTGGTCATCACTACCTCTAGAAAACTCTTGCCACTACCTCTGGCCATCTCTGATCACCACTGCCTCCAGGTATCATTGCCTCTAGGCAACTCCGATCATTGTTTCCTTCAACAGCCACCGGCGCTGCATTCGGCTTGCCCTAACCGCCACCTCCAGACAACTCTAACCTACACCTGCCAACCTTTGTCAACCATCATTGGTGCAGCAATGTACCTTAAATACGGTGTAATGACATGCCCCGATGACTATTTAACAACACACCCCACATTTGGTGTAACGACGCCTATTGATGATAGAGTGATAATACACTTTGAAGATAGTGACTTTATCCATATTCATATAGCCTTCTCCTCACAACTCACCACTATGACTTGTGTGATCAACTACGACTAACATGGTTCGCAATTTATGGAGCTCTCGACACTAGCCCATGAGACCTATGAATGTCATCATAACTCATCATTATAACCAATATGACCAACTACATCCTACAAAATCTATAATTTGTGTAGCTCTTGACTCCAGCCTTTGCAACATATAAATGTTACCACTGCTCATCGTTATGGCTTAAGTGGCTTACAACTCATGTGATGCCTCTCTGACCCATGTTGCTTACGATCATCATTTCAGCTAACCACGATAGCCTACATGACCAACTATAGGTTATGTGGCTTACAACTCATACAACTCCCGACTTTGACACCCTGCGACTTACAAACAACATCACAACTTACCATGATAGCCTATATGACCAACTATGACCAATATTGCTCACAACAAATGCAGTTTCTAACTTCGGCCTTTGTGACACATGGATGTTATCACAGCTCACAATAATGGCCTATGTCACCAATTACGATCTACACAATTTATAGCTCATGCAGCTCCAAACTCAGCCCCCTGCAGCCTACGAATAGCATCAAAGCTTGCCATTATGACCTAAACAATCACCACTACAACCACTGTGGCCAATTATGACCTACATGGTTCATGGCTCCTATAGTTTACTACTAAGACCCATGCGGGCAACCGACACTTCTGAAGTAATCATCTGCAACCCACACGACCAACTAATACCATGGCTTTTAAGTGCAACCTATACGATAATTTGGAGCTACAACCGTATATAATAATATTCACGGTGGACTACCACCTTCATAGTAATCGACTACGTCTATTGTATTGTGCTATCACCGAAAACTATATTCATTACAGTCAGACTATAATCATTACCGATGAATTATTATTGTATATTTTCATTGACTGACCTTGTAAATTCATCCTCCCTAATTCAGGAGAAGAATGAACATGTGTACTAACCATTTACAGTGGGTTATTTCAACCAGGTTAGACCACGTGATTTTTTTCTTTTTTCTTGGTTTTCTATGTAAAAAGTCAATGTGTCACATATTGTTTGCTACTTCTTTCTTGAATTACTTTGTGTGCGCTAGATTTTCATGCAACGTTAAGACGATTATTTATTATTCTACCGCCGCATGCCTCCTGACAAGCATCAAATATAATACATTTAAGCCGATAAGTCTAAAAATGAAGAGAAAAATACATGAAATCTTAATGCCAGGATCCTTCTTTGGACCAGAAAATAATACATGTAGAAAGTATAATCTGTTCTTCATTTTTAAATAAAATAACATCTAAAAGATTTATTTTTCATCTTGTGCTGAATGTAATATCCTAGCCTCGTCATTATAAATACATATATCCTTCCAAATAAGCAGCTTATCAACAACAATATTTACACAGATTCATGAGGAATTAACCAAAATCATCTAAGAATTAAAGAGTTAATAAAAAAAACAACATTAATTAGTTTACTAAATCTCTTAGCAAAACACTAATCACCCAGCACCGCCGGCTTCCCCTCCACCTTCATCCCCTGTCATCCCCGCCATGGCAAGATCTGGCTTGATCTCCTCCAGCTGCCGGAGCACCTCACGGACCTCCGGCCTTGCCGTCGGCGAGGGATCCACACAATGCAACGCCAGTTTCAATGTATTCAGCAACTCATCCCCTGCATTTAGCGTATAATCACAAATTTTTTAATTTCAATAAAAAAGTAAAAATCACTCACAGCTTTCATGAAAAATATTTAATAAAAATATCTTTTAATAAAATTATCTTATTCTTAACACTCTTGAGAGAATACTATGTGTAGAATCTACACATAATATAAATTATGATATTCGATGGTACTGTAATTACATTTTATCACAGTATCATCATAATATCACCAAATTCGCATCTATATCACCCGCACATAAAGTATATATATATATATATATATATATATAACTTAATAACATTCATTTTAAACCAAATAAACATAAACAAGCACTTGTCTTAACCTGCATTCCCAGATGCATCCCTCATAAGCTCCAAATCAAACACCTCATTCGTCCACTCCTCGTTCACAATCGACGCCACCCACTGCGGCAAATCCACCCCATTCATCGCATATCCCGGCGACTTTCCAGTGAGTAGCTCAAGCATAATAACCCCTAGACTATAAACATCAGTCTTAGTGCTGGCCTTCTTCAGCTTGGAAAGCTCCGGAGCCCGGTAGCCCAGAGCGCCGGCGGTGGCGATGACGTTGGAATTAGCAGCGGCGGTCATCAGCCTTGCGAGGCCATAGTCGGCGATCTTAACGTCGTGGTCGTCGTCTAAGAGAACGTTGGAGCTGGTGAGGTTGCCATGTATGATGTTTATGTTGTTGTGAAGGTGGTTTAGGCCTCTCGCTGTTCCCATGGCGATGCTCATCCTCGTCGGCCAGTTTATAGGAGTGTCCGGACCTCTTGCTGCGATTAAAAGCTCAAATCTTTCAGTTTTCTGAAATATTTTCAAAACTATCATTTTCATCAATTCTTAGCCAATCTCCGTGAAAATGGACGTCCAGCAACATATGAGATTTTTAGGTTATTAGGATTTAGCAAGTCCCATAAGTTCATATTTATTAAATTTTAAATGGGTTAAAACCGTCAATTTGTTTTGCAACGGACAGGACTATCAAAATAGCTCATTGTTTATGAAGAGTCCGTGTTCCACGAAAAATTATTGCATACATACACCGCATGCAGAGATGCATGCGGTGTCTGATCCTAACCATAGATCACGGTGATCTACGGTCAAGATGCAATCAAAATTTTTTTGAGAGAAAAAAAAAATTTTAAGTGAGGCCCACTGAAATACGTCATAACCGTAGATCACATTGATCTACGGTCAGGATCAAACACCGCATGCATCTCGTACACAATAATTTTTCGTGTTCCACGCGTTAAGAAGATGGTATTGAATTCTTTTGCTAAGTTAACAAGACAAACATAAATAAATATTTTGCGCTTAATATATAAACAAATTGAACATGAACAAAAATGTATTGGCCCGTCTACAACCATAGCAACGGATTTATTAAATCCTATAAATCTAATAGGACTGATTGATAAATTTTGTAAGAACTTAAGAAGTCGTTATGACTGTTGGATGCCTGTGAAGTTAAATTTATCGGTCCGTGAGAATTAGAATTTATGAAATTTAAAGGTAGAGTCCTAGGGATCCGAATTTATAGCATCCGGAAATTTATTTTGCTCAAAATGACTGTCTGATAGGAGTCTTTTTAGTTGAATCCTGAGTTAAATTCATTGCTAGACAACCCCTAAATGTCTCGATTTATGAAGTATTTTCTTTCTTCATGTTAAAAATCACTTTTTTTTTAATTTCATGAGACGGTTTTCAAAGAACGGTTGCTTACCATGAAGAAAGGCAGCAAGGCTCCCATTTGGCATGAAGTCGAAAACCAGAAGCTTCTCTCCTTTGGGTCCCAAATAGTAAGCTCTCAGCGCCAATAGATTCGAATGCCTAATCTTTCCTAGAACATTCACCTCTGCTTCAAACTCTTTCTGGCTCTTTGCAATCTTCTCTCTCAGCCTTTTCACTGCCACAAGATTTCCATCTTCTAAAGTCGCCTTATAAACAGTTCCATAAGTACTCTTCCCCATAATCTCCGCTGTAGCGCATAGAAGATCATCGGCGGTGAAAACAAATGGCCCGTCAAAGTGCACCAGCTTTCCGCCGGAATCTCCACCGGTATCCAACTCAGCAGCCGCCGGTGGTCCAGCCTTCTCTGCTCCTTCCATCGACTTGCTCTGTTTACCAAAGTTGGCTCTTTTCCTGATCAAAAAGCAAAACAGAACACAGCAGAGGAGGAGAAGAAACGCAATAGCAATCCCTGCGACAATTAGAATTATATCTCTTGTATTTAATCTCCGGCGATGGGACTCCGGGGAAGAAGATGGTGGAAGAGATGGGTTAAGTGGGCAAGGAGTTGAAGAGCTATAGCCACATAGCTGAATGTTTCCTATGAAAGAACTATAATTGAACCTTTCAGAGAGCAGAGCTGGGACTCTACCTGAAAGGTTATTATCAGATACATTAAGAAATTTGAGCTTTGAGAGTTGGGAAAGAGATGCAGGGATATGACCAATGAAGTTATTATTTGATAAATCGAGCTGCGTGAGGTTTGATAAGTTCGCTATTGTTGAAGGAAGATGTCCATTGAGATGATTCATTTTAAGAGAGAGAATGGACAGATTCCCTAGTTTATCAAAGGAGTCTGGAAGCCTTCCCTTAAGGAAATTACCCGCAAGGTTTAGCCTTATCAGCGAGGAAAGATTGCAGAGTGAAGCCGGAAAATTTCCTCCAATGGTGTTTTGCGAGATATCCAAAGTTTCAAGCATCAAAAGCGAGCCGATTTCTTCAGGTATGCTACCATTGAGCTGATTGTTATTGAGAGTGATCTCTCTCAACAATCTCAGTTGCCCCAAGGAAGCAGGAATTCGCAGGAATGGATCCGGAAAAGTAGTTTTCATCAAGATTCAAGTATTGTAGGTTATATGCTGTGGCATCAGGAATTGGACCAGAGAGGGCATTGTGTCGTACAGACAGAAAAGTTAGAGCAAGAGACTTAGCAATACCAGCTGGAATCTCACCGGAGAAATTGTTATAGCTCAGATTAAGCCTATAAAGCTTAGAAGAATTTGAAATCGAAGCTGGAATGTCACCAGAGAGCGAGTTATTACTAAGATCTATAGAATGAAGTTTTAGGCATTTACCAACTGTCGGCGGAACCTCGCCGGAGAAGCGGTTGTTGAACAGAACAAGGCCTCGAAGATCTAAAAGGAAGCCGACGGCTGAGGGGATCCGGCCGCCGATCAAGTTGTTATGTAAGCTAAGCTTGCGCAATGAAGTGAGCTGGCCTATCTTCTCTGAAATGTGGCCGCCGAGCCCCCTCCATGGAAGTTGAATGGCAATCACTTTCCCCTTAACGCATTTGATCCCGAGCCAGGCGCCGGAGCAAGCTCCAAGGCCGGTATCGTTCCAGCTTCGGAGGAAGCCTCTAGGGTCAATGAGAGCGTGCTTGAAGGCCTGCAGTCCCTGGTAGTCTTCCTCGGCGATTAGGGTTCCGTCCAACGAGCTCGCGGCTGCTACCATGGCGGAGAAGAGAAGACAGCAGAGAGAGTGAAACAAGAAATGATTTTTCTTCCTCCAGTATTCCTTCGTGTTGTCGAGAACAAAAAATGGTGGTGCTTCCATTCCAGATCAAACGATTTGAACTGAAAAGAGTGCGTTTTGGCTAGAAAAATAGAGGGTGTAAGAGAAAGGGGAGGGATTTTGGAGTTGAAAGAGACGGCAGAGAAGGTTATATTATCTTTAAGGAGAGAGGTAACGGCTAGTGAGCCAGTTCTGTTGAGAGCGGGAGCGATGGTGTTTGGAGTGGGGAATCAGGGAAAGGGAGGCCTAATTTGTCCAACGGCTATATTATGCTGACGGGTCCTACTGTGTTCGGGGTGGGGTCCGCATTTATGGATAAAAGAGTACGGATAATTAATGGGCGGGTGACACGTAGGACACGGGAGTTTTTTTACGGGTCGGGTACAGGGGACTGCTGACGAGAAGCCAGCCGTTTTCTCGGACTTTCTACTCCGTGACTGAGGAATAATTTCCGCAAATATAGGAATTTCTCACATTTAGTATTTCTGCCTCTTTCAATGTGTGACACGTGGAGTTTTAACAAGCGTGTGGTGGGTAACGTTTGGGTGTGTGGGATAATTCGGTTTTCATTTGGGATGGGCCTCGGGGTGATGAAAAAATACTGCATCAGAGCTCCTAACGTAGAGTTACATTGGAATCTAATGAAATAAAGTTACATGACAGAAAAATAAAAAAAAAATCATTTTAGTGTAGAGGAATATTCTCTCCGTGTTATTCCGCATTATTCAAGTATTATTGTGGTAGTATTTATGTGTTATTATATTCTGAGAATATTTCTAGTGTTATAATAACAAAATAACACATCAATATCAACACAATAACGCCTAAATAACATAAGAGAAATATTCTCCTGTATTATCGGGCCGGATCACAGGAAAATTTGTGTGTTTCATTGAAGTCACGTGTCTGCATATCAGTGAACTCTGAATGTAGTTCTATGTTAGGAGTCCTAACGTAGCTTTAAGTTAGGAGTCTTGATGTAATAGTTAGGAGTGTCGATAAGAAATTTAAATTTAATGTTTTAAATTAAAATTTAGCAATAATGTTAAATAATTTTATAAACTAAATTAAGTGGCATCCAGTGAGATATGATATGTCAATTGCTTAAAATGTTGGCACGTGAGAAATTTAATTCATAAAAAAAATAAATAAAAAATAAATAAAAAAAAAAGTGATGGGATTTTCTTAATGGTCGTTGATTGCGAATCCTTAGAGTCACTTCGGACTATTTGTTCATATTAAGCATTAATTATTTATGACAGGTGAGTATATATTTTAAATTTGATTTATGTTAACAATAATAAAAGTAGAGTATATATTTTAAATTTGATTTATGTTAATAAAGGTAAAAGTTGACCTAAAAAGATTTAGACATGTTGTATAAAAATAATTTTAATTTATTAAGATTAAATAAAAAATATGGTATTTTGTAAGATAAAATGAGAAAAAAAAAGATTTATATAGTTGGCCCTACTTAATGGGACGAAGGCTTGTTATTATTGTTGGCTTTTAATTGCAAATGAAGTGGTGATTTAGTGCAAGTCACATCTTAACTTGATCCTAATGAAGTGATATTAATTTGGCTTGTTTATTTGAACAATAAAACTAGGGAGGATAGAATGGTTAGCCATTTTTATGTAAATTGTGCCTCATAAGCAACATAACAGTTCTCTAACAATACTACAAAATTGGTCTAAATTTCACATGCTAGAGCTTCAACTGCTTTTTATTTTAATTAATATTTAAAAATTATAAAATTATTATGTATGTATTGATACGTCATCAAAGAATTTTATCATTTAACATGAATAGCAAAGCGTGACACAAATCTTGAGATATTTATTAAATAAGAAACATTCAAACTCAACTTTAAAATCATTTAGAACTATAATTTCAACAAACTTACAGTCAAATTGATAGACTCCAGGAGACCGAACCAAGGACACCAAATTTGGCCCCAATGTGAGTCAGATTAAGCTTGGATCAAGCTATTAAACCACTTTTAAAAGCTTTGCGTGACTAATTAGAAGATCAAATGGATTTTAAATCTGACAAGCTTATAGATAAATCCAATGTCTCGACAAAACAAATTCAACAGTTCCAAGATCATTCAATTCAGGCAACGCTAAAGCACTCAAATAACCACAAAGTACCGTTAAATTTAGGGAAATCTGATGGTGTGATCTGGTTTCTTTCTTATTTGCAGTGAGGTCCCTCCCAAGCTATATAAATAGAGACCTGCCATCTTAATTAAATGGGAGGAAGAGCTAGACCTGGAGCTAGAGCCAGCCGAGAGATAAAGGAGTCGAATTATAGTGTGATTGTGGACCGAAGAGCTGACGAATGCTTTTCGCTTCCCACTTCGGCGGTCACTGACCACCATAGACCACTGCTTGTCGGTTGCCATAAACTACCGTCAACCTTCTCATGCTTTCAGTTCTCCGTGCATGTTAGAAACAAAGTGTCATCTTGTCGAATTCTCTTTTCTACGTAATTAGCCTTCTCTTCAAATTTATTATCATTAAAGTTCTACATTTTGTAGCATAGTGAACAAACTTTTGATATCACTCGAGACTTGTCATACCTTAGTCTTATTTTTTGTCTTCCATACCATCTTGTTGATTTTCCTCCTTGTCTAAAAATGATATTGTTATGTTTTCATTGTTAGAACTCTAACCTCATCCACATCCATGACCACGACCTCTTTTTTGTTGACTTCTATCATACTTGAGGCTCTTCTTTCTTTAGTTGAATTAAGTTGTGTTTTCGGGAGTTACTTCGTGATCACTTAGTTTTTCTTTTTCTTTTCCTTATAGGCTTATAAGGAACCAAAGAGTTGCTCGATTGTCATAGTCTTAAGGCCTTTGGTTATTCAATGATGGAAACATTATGATCGAACTTTGGATCTAAATATCAAAAGATCTTCTCCATAATCCTTACATATTCCAGCTTCTCCCAATTTCTCTTTAGTTGATTAGAAACAACTAAGGCTTCAAACTCGCTTCTTAATGTTTGTATGAAGGTACACCTTCTTGACTTGCTTCGCTCATTTATAAAAGTTCTAAAGCTTCTCTCATGCTTCTTTGATAAACCTTACATAGATAAGGTGAGCTTGTAGTATGAGGAGGGTTGTGCTGTTATAAAATTGATAGAGAAGAGAAGATTGGTGGATGGATGTGTGGAATAGAGTGATGGAAAATTAGTATGTGCGGACTGCATATTCAGACAACGGTATGAATGCGACTATGTTGATGGGGATCGCATGACAACCATCCAGACAGCTTCTTAAGATAGAGAAAAGTTGGTTGAAAAAGTAGAGTGTGGCTTCAGCTAGTTAGGAAAACGAGATAGCAACACTAGGTAGCGGAGGCTTATAATATGGGTTGAATTACGTGGTTTGGGTGCATTAGGGTTTTTTATTTGTGAAGAGGTTACGAGAACGTGTAAGGATCGGTTATTGACGTAGCGGTTTCTACACACACACAAGTAATTTTATTATTAAATTAATTATCTTGTATTTTTATCAAATGTTTAAAGTCTACATCACCCGAGTTAATTGATTATTATTATTATTATTATTATTATTATTATTATTATTATTATTATTATTATTATTATTATTATTATTATTATTATTATTATTATTATTATTATTATTATTATTATTATTATTATTATTATTATTTTATTATTATTTTAAATCCTTTTTCTTGCTTGAGGTAAGGCTACAATTTATCTAATTACTTCTTTGCTATAGTTATAGATGTTCTTCCTTGATTTCAGAACTCTCAATATTATAATGAACTCTCAATATTATAGAACTCTCAATATTATAATGTAAATGATGAAAAAACTAACATCGATGACTAAAATATTTGTCATTTTATATAAACTGATGATTTGTTGATTTTTGGGAGAGTAATCTTGACTATATAAATAATATGGCTTTAATAACCATCCATACATTTAATTTGGTTGTAGTTTATGTGATAATTGTTATAAATATTTTATTTGCTTTAATGAATAAGTTGACACACTTATGCAACAACAAATTTGTCAAGCTTATGATTTTTCAACTCGTCCCTCCCTTGAATCTATCTGGGTGTTACTATTAATTCTTGAAAGCTTAAAGCCTCTGATTTTCTTAAGATATTGTATATAATACAACATTTATTATCTGATTGGAAAAATAACTTTCTTTCTTTTAATAGAAGATTCTAATTGATTAAGACTACTATTTGGAGATGCATTTGTCATTTGTTTAGATTCATTATCATACCTAAAGGCTTGAGTAAGAAGATCTCTTTCATTTTAACAGCTTTTTTCAATATAATGGTGCTAAGAAGAAAATGCATACCATAGCTTAGAGCAATTCCACCAACCAAAAAGAGTGAGGCGGGTTGGATCTTCCCAATATTGGCATCATCAACAATATATGCAAATTTAAGATTGTTTGGATGCACTATAATTCTAATTCGTATATTTCTATTTGGTATTTCAATTTTTATGGGTCTCTTTTGTTCAAAATGAGATCTAGAATTTTTATATTTTGGAAATCACTGATGCAAGAGAGACTTAAAATGAGATAGCAACACTAGGAAGTTGGTTGAATCATGTGGTTTGGGTGCATGACCCTTATAATATTGGTGTCAATTTTAGCTATTTTTTACATTATGGATGTCTTGGAATGATCTATTTGGTGAACAAAATTCGTTTGAGCAAATTTATCTCGATGCTCTAAACAAAATGTTAGAATGTTTTTTTTTTTTTTTTTTTTTTTTTTGTTTTTGCAAATGGGCATTATTTTAGGTGAATGCGAGCATGTTTAAGACACTTAATATTTGATCGTGTGATGTCATAGATAATTTTGTTTTTCGTTACACATCTATAATATGAGGGTCAACAGAGAGTGCAAATGAGAGGATTATAGAGAAGAATTTGGAAGAATTTAGGCATAGAGCAAGTATATTTCGTCACAAGATATTTTGAGTGTCACCTTTCTCTCTTTTATTTATACTTTTACTTAAGAGTTGAATGTTTTTCACATGTGATTTACAAGCATAATGTGTAACCAAATTTAATCTTTAAAATTTTATGTGATAAGTTTTGATAAGTAACTCTTTTAAACTTATTTTCCTCTTAATTTAGCCAATTAATTATTAAGAACATTTATAGTTTAGATATTTTAGAAAAAAAATAGTGAAATAATTAGCCTAATGCACATAAGCTTGGTAGAGTATAAATATTACTATTAAAGGAGTGCCATCAATTAAGAAAATATAAATTACTTAGGGTTTTTGCATGTTTTAGGGTGATAGATTATAAAATAAAACCCCAACACTTATTAATATCTCATAAAAGGCCATGAAATACTATTATTCTTGATTGTCAATCAATATAAAAAAAAATAGATAAGTTGAAGATCGTAGCACATCAATAATTCAAAGTATGTTTAAACAAAAAAAACTAAAAAAAGTTGTTCTAATATTTTATAAATAATAAATTTTATTTGAAATTAAAATTTTTTAATAAAACTTAAAGCTTAAAATTTTTTTTTTGATCTAGTTAAGGAATTTACTTAGTTCTCTATAGGATTGATATCTCAGATTGTAAATTAGTATACTACTTAGTCAATATGTGCACATGTGTTAAAAGCGTGTGTCATTGCATAACAAATCACATATTACTCCTAGCATAATTTAATGGATATCATAAATGATATTTTGGAATTAAATTAAATATCTTTTAAGCATTAATGATCAATTGCGGCCTAGGTGGCCCACAACTCGTGTAGCTCCCGACTCCGGCATCTACGGTAGGCCCATCACATCCCACCATTCTAGCCTATGTGGTCAACTACGGCCTCGTGATCCACAACTCATGCTTCTCTCAACTCCAGCCTCTGCAGAATATAAATGTTATCACAATTCATCACTACAAACGACGTAACCAACTACGATCTATGTGGCTCACAGCTTGTGCAGCTTCATACTCTGACCCTTACGTCATACTAGAATTATCGCAGCTCACCACTATGGCATATATGACTAACTATAACATACATAGCTCACAGTTCCTGTAACTTCATGCTATGGTCTCTATGGTCAACCAACACATCAGAAACAACCATCTACGGCCTACACGGTCAACATGACATTCAACTATAGCCTAAAAAATAAGGTGACACTACTACCATCATCTATAACATTCACGACAAACTATTGTCTCTATATCAATCATCTACGACCATACATAGCTCACTGTTCCAGTAACTTTATACTACCGCCTCTATGACTGACCAACGCACCTGAAGGCAACCATTTATGGCCTACACGATCAACATGACATTCAACTATGGCCTAAACGACAAGGTAACACTACAACCACCATCTATAACATTCACATCATACTACTTCCTCTATATCAATCATCTATAACATTCACGGCAGACTACAGTCTACTATCATCGAAAGCTACATTTATTACAACTAGACTGTGACAATTATCAATGACTATTATTATACATTTAGAATGATCAACTTTGTAACTCTATCTTCTCTAATTCAGATTAAAAATGAACCTGTATGCTCACCATTCTTAGTGGATATAATATTGTAAATATAGATTAATATATTTACATTTACACCAACAACAACAACAACAAAGCCTTAATCCCACTATGTGGGGTCGACTACATTAATTCTTTTTTCTCCATTGCGTCCTGTTTAGTGTCTTATTTTCATTTAGTTCTAGTAAATTAAGATCATTTTTTATACAATAAGCCTACAATAAGCCCAAGTAAGCCCAAGTATTCCTAGGTCTATCTCTGCTTTTCTTAACACAAGTCGAATCTAAAACATCTACTCTCCTAATCGGATCATCAGATTGTTGACGTTTAATGGGACCAAACCATCTAAAATGACTTTCTCTAATTTTGTTCGTCACAGGAGCTACACCAACCCTATCACAGATACATTCATTTTACATTTTGTATCTAAGTGTAAAACCACCCATCCACCTAATCATTCTCATCTCAGCAACACTTAGCTTATTATTATGCTTCTCTTTTAAAGGCCAACATTCAGCGCCATAGAACATTGCAAGTCTCACCACCGTCTTATAATATTTTCCTTTCAGTTTAAGCGGTACTTTTCTATCACACAAAAGGCCCGAAGCATTCCTCCATTTAAACCAACCAACTTGAATTCTACTATTAACATCCCAATATATATCACCATCCCTTTGAACAATGGACCCAAGGTATCTAAATCGTTCATACCTTTTAATAATTTGATCACCGAAAGTCACACTTTTGTCACTAGAGCTATTACTACTAAAATTACATTACATGTATTCAGTTTTAGTTCTACTTAAACGAAGGCATTTAGACTTCAATGTAGACCTCTATAATTCAAGTTTTTCCTGGGCTTTTTCTCCCGTTTTATCCACGAGAAAAATATCATCAGCAAAAAGCATACACCAAGGTACATCCTCCTATAGATGTCCAGTAAGACCATCCATAACTAAAGAAAAACGATATGGGCTTAAAGCCGATCCCTGATGTAATCCAACAGAAATAGGAAAATATTTGGTCAATCTTCCTTCAGTTTGAACATAAGTACTAGTTCTAGTATACATATCTTTAATGACTTGAATATAAGTCATATCATCACCTTTCTTCTCAAGAACACTCCAAAGAATCTCTTGGAACCTTATCATAAGATTTTTCTAAATCAATAAAAATCAAATGATATTCTCCTTATTATCTCTGAACTTCTCCATCAAACCTCTTAAAAAATGTATAGCTTCCATAGTAGACCTGCCCGACATAAATCCAAATTGATTATGAGAAATCTTTGTAATGTATCTTAACCTATGTTCAATTACCCTGTCCCATAACTTTAAAGTATGACACATCAACTTAATTCCTCTATAATTTGCACATTCTTGTGCATCTCCTTTCTTCTTAAAAATGGGGACCAAAATACTCTTCCTCCACTCCTCAGACATCTTTTTAGTTTTTAAAATAATATTAAAAAGTTTAGTGAGCCAAGAAACTGTCAAATCTCATAAATATTTCCACACTTCAATTGGGATATCATCAGGTCCTACAGACTTTCCACCCTTGGTTTTCTTTAAAGCCTCCTCAACTTCTTTTTTACTAATGCGACGGTAAAAATGACACGTTTTATTATTATTCATAAGATCACTAAATTCGATCGTATTTTCAGAAACTTCATTAAAAAGTTTATCAAAATAACTCATCCACCTATGTTGAACATCTTTTTCTAAGAAAAGTAATTTTTGATTTTCATCTTTAATGCACTTTACTTGAGTTAAATCTTTACTTTTCTTTTCTCTTTGTTTGGCTAGTTTATACATATATTTTTCACCATTCTTAGTATGTAATCTATTATAAATATTATTAAAAGCAGAATTTTTAGCATCACAAATTGTACTTTTAAACACCCTGCGGGTCGTTTGATATTTTTCCCAGTTCTCTAAGCTTTTACATTTAAACCAATTTGTATAGCATAACTTCTTATATTTTATATTTTCTTGCACATTATTATTCCACCACCAACTATTTTTATTAATAAAAATTTTTTCTTTAGATTCTTCAAACACATTTTTTGCTACTTATTTAATTGTATTTTTTATTTTATCCCACATAACATTTGTTTTATCATAAACATCTCAAATTTTGAAATCTTGAAGTTTACTCATAAAAATTTTATTTGTCTTTTATGTTCCCACATCTAATTCTACGATGATAAGTCCTAATATTCTTTATTTTACAAATCTTCATCTTAAAATCTAGAATTAATAAATGATGTTGGGTACTTAAATTCTCACTTAGAATGACCCCTTACAATTAGAATGACCTTACAATTTTTACAATCTCGACGATCTCTTCTTTTCATAAGAAAATAATTAATTTGTGTTTTATTAGATCCACTCTTATAAGTAATAAGATGCTCAACTCTTTTCTTAAATAGTATTAGTAATAAAAAAGAATATGCTAAAGCAAAATTTAAAATAGCTCTACCTTCTTCATTAGTTACTCCTAAACCGTAGCCACCATAAATATTTCTGAAGTCTTCTACCACTCTACCGACATGTCCATTTAAATCTCCTCCAATAAAAATTCTTTCTTCAAAAGGTATCATTTGTATAAAGTCTTCTGAGTCATTCCAAAATTTTTCTTTGGAACCTGTATCTTAACCTACTTGAGGAGCATAAACACTTGTATTATTAAAAATCTTAATATCAATGATAATCTTAAGGGTTATAATTCTATCTCCAACTTTATTGATTTTTACAATATTATCTTTCAAACTCTTATCTATAATTACACTTACATCATTTCTAAGTACGACTCTTACCAGAATACTAAAGTTTAAAACCAAAATTATCAATCTCTTTAACCTTTTCTCTAACCCATTTAATTTCTTGAATACATATTACTTTTCCTATGATATATTTACATTTATCATTAAAAATTTAAAATCAAAATTTAGATATAAATATGTAAATACATTAAAAATTATATGATATGTATGTAAATGCCTCATCCTAAAATGGTTCAGTTAATCAACATGCCTTTAAAACTGTCAGGATTATAGAACTTCTGCATCAAAAGAACATCCAATATAACAACAGAATCTACAATAGCAAAAGGGTTGTCGTCCGTTGTCCAGATGTGCAAATGAATCCATACCACTTTGCAGACATGATCGAATCCACACCGTTGTCCGTACATCCGGAGATAATATTTTCTCCCTACAATAGTGCATTTACAGTTAAATTGCAGTGTGAATAAACCTGATGGTATTTTACTGCAAAATAGAAACTAGCACAGTATAATACAACAAAAGTACAAATGGCACCCCTTGTCTCCCCATCAACAAATATAAATCTACATTCCTCTATAAACTTCAAAACATATCCACACAAAAAAGGATTATCAATTACCTACAAAGCAATTTTCTGTTCTTATGATCGATAAGCTTCTAACTAAAATCAAACAAAAATTATCTGCACAACCCAAATACATGGCTAAGGTAACTCTGAAAAGAAGATCGGATCAAGAAATCTCAAGTCAGGGAAACCATAGTCCATTTGATCCAAGCTCCAGAACATTGTATCTGCTTCCTGTCCAGTGCTTGGACACTGAAAATCGCTTCCTGAACTTGGAATATGACTTCCATTAGCAAACCCAAGAATCTCATCAACGTGAAACATATCAAATGGCATCTCCTCTAAACAATCATGCTTTTCAATTGGCTCTTTTGCCAGCATAAATTCCTCTGTCTGATGATCTTCAGAGCAAGATGGCTGAGGCTTAATCTCCTTCACAGCTTCAGGTTTTAGATCATCTGCTTCTAATGTGGCATCCAATGTGGTGGTGGAATCAAAAGTTTCTGACTTAGATTTTTTGCAGTGAGAAAGATTGATGTGTTCATCCTGAATACACGTGCTGCATTCTTGTAGATTGCCATGACCGCCTGAATCGAACTGAGAGAGATTGACACGAGCATAAGATCCATACATAGCCCGTGCAGCTTCGTCGTAGGCCAGAGCAGCATCAAAGGCGGTGTCGTAGGTCCCTAACCACAAGCGACTGCCTCGTTTTGGTTGTCGGATTTCAGCAACCCACTTGCCCCAAGTTCGTTGCCTCACACCGCGATATTTACAGTTTGAATTCTCTGGCCCGCCTTTCCCTCGCATGCATCCTTTCTTTGAGCCCTTCGCAGGTACTTTCCTAGTACATTCGGTGTCCAAAGAGTGTGATTCACTGTTCTGATATTTCCATTTGGCAAGTATTTCAGCTACACAATTTGTTCCGCTGACCCTTTTTCGGATTCCCTTCTTCCTGAAAGAACAATAGTAAAACAGAAGGGGGTAGAAAGAATTAAGTAAATCAAATGGCCGGAAAAAAAAAATTATGAACAATCTGTGAAGTTCAAACAAAGAAAAAAAATACTTTGTGTTATGACTTCCAAAGGTATCACTAAAAGCTTTCAAAACCATGGCAATTAAACATAGAATGTTAGCGACACCGCCGAAGCTGGGGGAAAGCGGGCCGCGTGATCAACCCCGTAGCCCAGCGTTTGCCCTGTTATTGCCCCGTAAAATTTTTTTTCTGCCCTTCGCGAGTCCCCTGCGCCTCCTTTCAGCAGTACTCTTCTCCTATCATCTACAAGGCGAGGAGTATGGCGGTGATCGACGACAACGCTGAGCAAGGGTGTGCGATCGTCGGCAGCAGATGCTTCGCCACGCGCCACCTTGTACAGATGTTGCTCCGATCGCAGGAGTGGCACGTACAAATCATCGATCTGGGACCCTCCATCAATCTCGAACCTCACGAGGAGACACGGGTTGTCGGCGAAGCCCTCAAGTCCGGAAGAGCTGCTTAAAAATCCACCGATCTACGATGGAAGCACTAAGAAGGTGCCTGTCTTCTTTGAATTGCCTTGTATTTATTTCGGCAGTCGCATTTTCATCGAGGGTTACGATTTGAATCTTTGGAGGTGGTTGGCTGCAAGTTTTCGTTTCGTTATTGATTGCACATCTTTGAGCCATATTGCATAAGTAATGCTATGTATTGCTATTAGTTATGTGAGGGGGGATTGAAGGTGAAAAAAATCATATCGTAAGCCCCGTCATGGCTGATTAGATTTCAATGTAGGTTCTCAGAGTAATTAGTTTATGAATGAAAAAAATGAAGTGTTGATGAGTTTAAGGATACTGGATTTTGAACAGTTTTATCAAACAGGGGCAGTATGATTTTTTTTCCATAAACAACTACCCGACAATTGGTTTCACACAGCTGCACCAAACAGACAGTCAGCTTCCCCGCAGCTGCAGCTGAAAAGCAGAAAAGCTGCAGCTGTGCCAAACAGAGCCTCTCTTCGCCTATTCGGTAACTCGTCATATGTGGAGCAACGGGACAACATGCACAGACTCAATAATTTGACCTCATCAACTTGACAGAGCAAAAAAAAATTATTCATACAAAGAATGACCTTTCAACAAGCAACATATTAGGCTACAAATATATAATTTTAATACACGTAACTCTCTTTTTTATGAAGCCCATCATAGAGTACACCCTAAAGACAACCCAAACCTATAAATTAGGGAGGAAATTCTCAGGGTGAGGGAGGCGTGCTATCTTTGTATCCATTTCTCTTATAATTACGGGAAGTGCTTCTCTAGTTCTCTTTTTTCCTCCATTCTCTCTATCTCTCTCTCTCTCCTCAATTGATCTTGTCTAAGTGGTGTGAATTCACGGTCAACTCAGGATTCAACAAATTTAAACATCAGCATATTGCTATTTTATAATGTATTTATAAGATTATTTGACCACGCAAATAGAAAAATAACACGAGTAACCAAATATTCACTCAGTCGAAAAGGGCAGTCATGTTTGCTTAAGAAATAATAGATTAGTGAATAATTGATTATGCTAGGGACAAACAAAAATTCAGAGCAGGCTTGGAGAAGTGATTAGGTTTGCCTCCATTATGAGCTAGAGGTCGCAGGTTCAAGCCATGGAAGTATTCTTTTTGCAAAGATTACGCCTCCCAAAATCTCACATTAGCAAGATCTTCATGGATTGGATGAGCCCTACTTCACTGCTTGCCACTGTTTTGAAAGCCATTCTACAATTCAAAAAATAGGCAGCTTTCTTGGAGCCAGACATCGAGCAAAAAAAAAAAACTCAATGCCCAGAACAATTTACAGAAGAAGTTTCTGCAAGTAAAAATGTTAGTTCTCATTCTCTAAACAATTATCTGAAGTAAAAATGTTTAATGAACAGACTTACATAAACATTCTAATTTTTAATAAAATTTTGCCAAAAGGATCATCTCAATATCCATACCTAGCAGCATAATGAAGCCAGTTCAACCACAATGCCTTCCCCGCTTTTCCCAAGTCTAGTCCATTAGAAATCATCAAATCACCACAAAGATGCGACAAAATCAGAGAAGTGATAATCAAATCAAAAAGCAAATACTTCAGAATAAATCATTGCAAATTTGAACACGGCTGGAGCTGTTATAGAAAGATACCACAAATAACAACAATTAAGGCTTTCAAAATTTTTGTAATCTTCTAGCACAAGTAGCATAAAAATAGAGTTTTCATAACTTTAGTAACGTATGCCTTCAAAACAAGAAACTTATTCAATCTACATGAATCAATAGCTATAATTAACCTTCAAATTCGAAGGGTATGTTGAACTAAAGGGGGCTCAAATTTGGGTTGATCCAAATGCGTTAAGTGTTATTATTTGGAGCTTGATTGTGCTAATCATTTGTTCACAAAGATCCCTCAATTTTGCTAATCAAGCTTGATAGTGAGTTTATTAAGAGAGTACAAGGGAGCTGTCCCCATGTATTGGGTTTGGAGGTGCTACTCACGATTTTTTTTTTCAATATATAGCGCCTTGCTGATGAAGAGCTTTTTTTTTTCAATAAAATGGAGCCCTCAATTTCGCTGATCTTTCTATAACAGCTTCATAATTTTAAAGATGCTTGTGGAGTGGAGGAAGAGTATTTTGGTCCCATTTTTAAGAATAAAAGGGATGCACAAGAGTGTGCAAATTGTAGAGGAATTAAGTTGATGTGTCATACTTTAAAATTATAGGAGAGGGTAATTGAACATAGGTTAAGACGTAATAAAAATATTTCTCATAATCAATTTGGATTTATGTCGGGTAGATCTACTATGGAAGCTATACATTTCTTGAGAAGTTTGATGGAGAAGTTCAGAGATAATAAGGAAAATCTACATTTGATTTTTATTGATTTAGAAAAAGCTTACGGTAAGGTCCCAAGAGATATCCTTTGGAGAGTTCTTGAGAGGAAAGGTGTTGATAGGACTTATATTTAAGTCATTAAAGATATGTATACTAGAGTTGTTACTTGTGTTCAAACTGAAGGAGGATTGATCAAATATTTTCCTATTTCTATTGGATTACATCAGGGATCGGCTTTAAGCCCGTATATTTTTACTTCAGTTATGGATGGTCTTACTGGACATTTATAGGAGGATGTACCTTGGCGCATGTTTTTTGTTGATGATATCCTTCTTATGGATAAGATGAGAGAAAAAAACCTAAGAAAAACTTGAATTATGGAGGTCTACATTGGATTCTAAAGGCCTTCATTTGAGTAGAACTAAAACTAAAGACATAGTAAGTAATTTTAGTAGTAGTAGCTCTAGTGACAAAAGTGTAACTTTGGGTGATCAAATTATTAAAATGTGTGAACGATTTAGATATCTCGGGTCTGTTGTTCAAAGCAATGGTGATATAGATATGGGGATGTTAGTAGTAGAATATAATTAATTAGTTGAAGTGGAGGAATGCTTCGGGCCTTTTGTGTGATAGAAAAGTACCGCTTAGACTGAAAGGAAAATTTTATAAGACGGTGGTGAGACCTACAGTGCTTTATGGCGCTGAATGTTGGCCTTTAAAAGAGAAGCATAATAATAAGTTAAGTGTTGTCAGGATGAGAATGAGTAGGTGGATGAGTGGCATTGCACTTAGAGGCAAAATGCGAAATAAATATATCCATGATAGGGTTGGTGTAGCTCCTGTGACGGTGTAGCTCCTGTGACGGACAATGACGGACAATATTAGAGAAAGTCATCTTAGATGGTTCGGTCACATTAAGCGTCGACCATCTGATGATCCGATTAGGAGATTGGACGTTTTAGATTTGACTTAAGTTAATAAAGGCAGCGGAAGACTTGTGCTTATTGTATAAAAAATGACCTTAATTTATTAGAACTAAATGAAAATATGACACTTAAGAGGAAGCAATGGAGAAAAAGGATTCATGTAACCGACCCCACGTAGTGGGATTAAGGCTTTGTTGTTGTCGTTGTCGTTGTTGTTGATAGCGCCATGTTGCAATACTTGCAGCACCCTAACTTTCAATCTAGGTATAGAAGTAGAGAACACAACACTACAGTGTCCAGATGCAGCACCGTGTCACCTCGATGCCGGTAACCGACTTTGGGTAATTTTTAACTTAATGTTATGATTTTGATGATAAGAAGGGAATGACATTCACTTTTATCTTGTGTAGAAGGGAGGAAAAGATGTTATGGAGTTTTCAAAGAGTGGAGAGAATAGTAACGTAATTATACAACTCTCCTCATTTTTCACATAGTGAATTTCAAAGTGTGGTGTGATTCCGTGATTTTTTCTTTTCTCGGATTTTTTTTTCACTATTAAACATGGTATTTTCTATCTTTTTTATATTTTCTATTTTGTGTGCTTTTTTTCAAAGTTTTTCTTAGGACCTCTCGAATCAGTTTTCAGCAATTTACATCTTCCAAAATAAAGCCTATGAGAGAGGAGCTAACACATGGTATTTTTATATCAAAAATATATCTCAACCATCCCATCTGAAACTAAGCTCAATACTGTCTCTCACAAATGCCTTAACAGTTAAAATACAAGATAGGGCTTCAAACAAAGAAAAATGGTGCAAAAAATCAATTCTTTCAAGGATATGCTGACAAAACTCTAAGCTTGCATCAGAAAGGCTTCTCTCCAAAAAATTGATAAAAACTACGCAGCTTTATCCCATCTTCCTTCAATCAAACTTTCTACAGTACTTGGTAAGAAAGCCTAACCAAGTCCTAGTATAACAAGCAAGAACATCAGATATTGAAATATTAGCTCATCCTACAATAAGAAAACGGACGCAATAATTTCAGTTTCAACTAATGGAAACAAACTGATGGGTGTTATATTCTTAATCCCCAAAGTCATCACAACCAAACCTCATAGAACACCGAAATCAGTAACCCATGATTAGCATACAGACGGCGCCCTAATGAAACAATGATCAAACCCTAGATATTAAGCAACATACCGAAGAATTTAAAGCACATACCTCAAAATCAAAAATTTCCCAAAAATAAATGCAAAAGATGAAAGATGAAATTTTGCTAAGAAAAATACGCACCTTTCGTCTTCCCCCATCTGGCTTGGCTGTTTTGTTGGTAGCATCGTTCTGCTTCTTCTCTGATTTGTCTGGGTGGCAGTAGTTTCTTAGGGACGAAGCAGAACTAGAAACTAGTATGAGCTTTTATAGGCTGCTTAGAAGCTACAGGTGCTGCTCCACGGGAATATTTGCCGAATGCACGAATCTCCAGGAGTAGGAAGGGCGGATCGTATTCGAGGCCGCCTCTTTACGCGAAGCTTCGAAGTAGCCCCTGCTCACCTTTCGAGGAAGGCTCGAAATGATAGTCCTAAATTACAAATGATAAAGATGACTGATATTCCAATGTCTAGTATTTTAATTGGCCTATATGTATGTATTTATCTATCCAAAATATCTAGGAGACATTTTTAAGCTGTCCCAAATGGGAGAAATATTTGCGTACGTCAGTAAGTTATAGGGAGAATATTAGAGAGTTATATCTGCGTTATACCCCCTGTAACTTCTCTGTAACTTCTGTAACTTACAATATATGAAAACAAACCATGAAACTTACTCATTACAGGTAGATTACATGTACGTTATAGGAAGTTTACAGGGGGTATAACGCGAATATAACCCCCAATACCCTCCCCTGTAACCTACTAACGTACGCAGCTCTACGTACGTTAAACGTACGCAAATATTTCTCCCCAAACGGGCCCTAAATTACAATCCAAAATCTTATTTCCTAAACTTTATACCACTCTGTCTCCCTTCCATCTTTTACACCCATCTGCCGTTTTGAGCTCGTCTTTCGTCCCGAGCTCGCCACCTCCTTCATTTCTTTGGGAGAGCACCCATGCCCTTCTAAGGTCTTCTTCTCTCTCCCATTGTTCAAACCATAAGGAATCTTCTCTTTTATCCGATCATTCAAGCGCAAGGGTTTTCTTTTTTTTTTTTATTCTTTGAACAAATTACAAGAAAGTTCAATTTGGTAAGCCGACATTACTATTTCTTCATGATTTCTGTGATCACGCCAAAATATATAAATCTGGTTTAGGGAGAGTTTATGAAAGGCTTTCCATAAATTTCAGGCTCCGAATCACGGAAAAAATTTGCGTGCGATAGACGTACGCAGCGCTGCGTACGATATTTGAGATATACCGAGGGTACAAGAGGGTTATATCTGTGGTATAAGCCCTTGTAACTTCCCTGTAACCTTCTGTAACTTACTTGTAACCTACTAATAAATTTTTAATATTTGATAACATAAGCGCGAAACTTATTTTATGTTACAGGTAAGTTACAGAAGGTTACAGGGAGGTTACAAGGGGTTAAACCGCAGATATAACCCCCTTGTACCATCGCTATAACCTCAATATCGTATAACCTCAATATCGTACGCACAGCGTTGCGTACGTCTATCGCACGCAAATTTTTTCCATCACGGATTTTGGAAAAAAAAAAAAAAGGCATATTTTACGAACGCAAGATCACGAGAAGAAACCTGGAATGAGAAGGAGCTATGAATTTTTAGTCAGAAAGGCATATTTATGAGTGCAAGATCATGAGGAGGAAATAATTTATCACAAATTTATGAGGAATGCATTTTTTATATCATAAGTTGCTACAATCTCAAATTTATAGCCAAAATTTATACATTACAGATAGCTGTAAGTGTTGAAAAGAATTTATTTCAAAACTAAGACCGAAAGACTATACTTCATTAACTTTCCTTCAAGCTCGAAAACTAGAAATAATTGTTTGCTACTTTGCTCTGTTATCTTACAAAAATGAATTCAAGCTTTTTTAGTCATCTTATTTCTTTGACATTTTGCGTGGTTTGTATTTGAGCAATTCGGAAAATTTTCTATGCCTCTGCAAATGGAAATGGCATCCCTTGATATTTGGAGGTGAACTAAAAGCCAATGAGCCCATTTTCGAGAGATGAACAACTAATTCAGCAGCTAAATATGCTAAATACTTCAATTAGGGAATATATTTTTTTTCAATATAGTAAACAATGATGTTTTAATTGTTATTACTATCATGTGAAGTTATGTTAGTCCTCTAGTAATATACTTTGGCTATTTTAGGGAAGCAGTCTCAGCTAAATGTATTTTTAAATATTTCTTTTAATCATACTTATGGAATTTAATTTAAGGAGCATGTTTGTGTTGCGCTGTTTGACCTGTTCTTTTTCCGACTTATTTTTCATGGGAAGCATGTTTGTTTATTACTGGTCGCTCGCCATTGCCGTGACATAGCCCGCCAATAACTTCTCATATTTTTTTGAAATATTTTATTTTTAATCTACTTAAAACCAATTGAAGAATATAAAGTCTTATGTTTATTTTAGAGTCAACAAAAAAAACTCTAAAACATTTCAAATACAATACATTACTTCATTGTTACATTTCATGTTACACTGCATTACTTTTTTAGCAAATCAAACAGCAGCTATATAAAGACTAATTTTATAAAAAATAACAGATAGATTTACTTACATGCCATTCAATTTTTATCTATTTACATAGTTAATACCTAAACTTCAATTTTTTACCTATATCCATCACACGTGTACTCGAAAACCTGTATTTCAATTTTAAAAGTTAAAATAGTGGTATTTTAGATGTGATATTAATGATTAGAGGCATAAATATACAAAGTAAAATTTTGGTGTTAGATATGTAAATACATTACAATTGGATGCTATGCTATGTATGTAGATGTCCCAAAATAAAAATACAAGTTGCCTAATAAAAATTAACAAGCATAATTTCTAATAATTATTATAACTAGCTTAAAAGTTTAAACAAATGCAAGAAAAAAAATACCCTTTATTGTAATAAATAATAATATTGATATATATATATATATATAAATGAACTGCCAGACATTGCTTTACACTAATTTATATGCATCAACGAATACTTTCTGGTCATTGACTTACTCCCAATCATTAATTATTTCTCCCACTGACACTGTTTACCTGAAATGGTTGTCATGGTAAAAACAGAGTAAGTAATCATGAATTTGGTCTTCCACCATAATAGTTCATAATTAGAAGCCTTGGATTATCCTGAGGTGAAGAAATATTCTCTTCCAACAAGAAATTAACATTGTTGAAGGATTTCATTCTCCTGTTGCTTGATTGAGTTTGGTATTCTCTTCAGACCAAATCAATTTCCAAGGGCCTGATTTGCTTCCTAGTCTACATACAGAATGAATGCTGTCAGTAAACAGGGATGCGATGAAGGGAGGTTTACATATATACCACTAAGTTCCTATGTATATACATATATAACATCTATACTTCAATTTTTAACATATATGCCACCTTTACCTATACATGAAAAGATGTATTCCACTTTTTAAAAGTTTAGATAGTGGTATTTTTGAAGTGGTAAAAAAGATTTTGATGGTACAAATGTATAATGTAAAATTAGATGTTAGATATGTAAATATATAAGAGTTGGGTGGTATGTACGTAAATGCAACTAAAATTAAAGTACCTCCAGAATCCAGCAGCAGTTCTCAGAAACATGAACAGAAACAACCCAGTCCAAACTCCAAAAAGGCCAGAAGTGGGAGAAACGATAAGCAGGAAAACAGAAGAAAACAATCCCACAAGCACCTGCAAGGAAGATGACATCTCTGCTTATTGTTTGAGCTTGCAAGAATTAGCGAATCCAAGTGAATTAGAAATCATACCATTGAATATGCTGCGTATTCAAAGTCCGAGACACCATAATAGAGCCCGTCAAACACGAAAGCAAGGCCATTTATTGGCTGCGATAAAGTTACAAACTGCAGAGAGAATTGATAGTTAGAATCTGACATTTCCAGCAATTCAGTTTATTTTGGATTTCAAAACCAAGACGCTTTTGAGACAATACGGAAGATTTAAATTTCAACTATCTTAGTAAACAAACAAATCCTGTTAACAAAGTAATGGGAAAAGATTCAAATCATGTTTCAGAATAATGCGTTCGAATATCAATGTTACCCAAATTCCGGAGTGAGCGATATTCAGGACGGCTGGATCATTGGTGAATACACTAGAAAACGCCTCAAACGAAAAGAATAAGAAAAGAGCTAACATGACCCCTGATATAGCTCCAATCTGGGAAATTAAATAAAATTTATAAAAGATGATTAGTCGATTCATGTGAAGAAAATTCAAGTGAAACTTTGATTGAAATGCTAACCTGTAAAGATCTATAAATTACAATACGAGCCTGTTTATAATTGGCCTTGGTGTATTCACTTGCGAGCAGAGCCTGTGAAAGATGCACACAATTGAAAGCAGTATCAAACACTACAATAATCATTTAAAAATTTAGATAACTCTTGCATCATAGCATTTATTAAATGTAAAATTATAACGTTGGATAGAACAGAAACCTGTCCAGCAAGAGCCAAAGCATCATTCAGGAGGGATATTGCCAAAGTAACTTGCAAGCATATTTGATGACCGGCCATGGGGATCGGGCCTTCTTTTGCAGCCATTGACGTCGCCAATGTCATGGTCATTAGAACAGCAACTGTTCTTGCAATCAAGAGAATACCTGAAAAACATTTTCAGAAAACATGGATAACTATCAAATGATTGAAGTCTGCATAGCTATATCCAAGGAAAAGATAAAAAATTTAAAGAGAAATTTACATACCTAGCACACAATTCTTATGTATTTACATATCTCAAACCTAAACTTCCATATTAATATTCGTAGCACTTTGGTGCTTTAAACCTATGCATAAAAAGGTGTATTTAAGAAGTAGTAATAGTGCTATTTTGGATGTGATATTAAAAATTTGAATGATAAGTGTGTAAATATACAGGTTTAGGCGTGAAATATGTAAATAGATTAGAACTGTGTGCTAAGTATGTAAAATCCCCTATTTTAAATTACATCTTTTCTTCTAATGCTTGGAAACATAAAATTAACCAGCAAAGAGGTTAGCCTACTGCGGGAACATGAAAACACAATTGAAAGAAACTCCTGAGCAATTTCATCATAAATGAGTCTTTTATCATAGTTGAGAGCTACTGCAATAAGCTTGACTAAAAAATAATAAACAGTAAAATATGATCTATGTACAAATACATCGTTCCCAACTAGAACAAAAATGAAGAAAATGTTCATTCAAGTAAAAATTATCACAAACAAATTGTGAAACATTTTACCACCACTTGGCTACTTTATCTACTTGACACGGTAATTTGTTGTCTCTAGAACATGTCACATATTGGTTGCATAAAATTGAAGTTAGAATCTAGTGATTATTTAAAATTATAGTGGGCAAACCTTGTACCAACCATATCGATTGCCCCAAACATGAAGAATCTATAAATATATGTTTGGGGCATTTAAATACATACCACCCAATTCCTTTGTATTTACACATATAACACCTAAGCTTTACTTTTTACATTTATACCACACAAATCTTTCATACCACAAACTAAATACCACTATTTTAACTTTTAAAAACTGAATTACACCTGTTCATGGAAAGGTAAGGCGAAATATATGTAAAAATTTAAGTCCATTAAGTTTGAGGCATATAGATTATTATCTCTAAATGGATAAAAATGGCTTCGAAATTTCAATCTTGCATGCACAACTTAGATGTGTGATTCCTTCGAACGTGATATAAATGCAACTAATGTTGAAGAAAGTCATATCGATGTACCGGAATGAGGGCTAGATTTCTTACTTCTAAAAATTATTTCTTTAATCTAACTTATTCAGCCTAACTCATTCTTGATTTGCTAACATTTGTGCTCTTGTTCAAATTTAACATAACAAAGAGTCTAATTATGTTAAATAAATTACAATCGTTCATTTATTTTGGGTAGTTTGAATTCTCATTTTTTTAATACGCTCAATTGTTACATTATTGTTTGAGTTCTAATTTCAATATTTATTACTTGCATTTCAAACAAGTTGTTTATTTATTTAGTGATTTGTGATCTACAAATAATAAGTTCTGTGCATGATTTACATATATTGCATCCTTCTAGTTGCTTTAAAAAATCACAATCCTAAACCTTTGAATACCAAATTGATATAAGATCAAATGTAAAAAATAATAATTGGGTAATTACAAATTAATAAATGATGGGATTTAAATAGGAAAAGGTAAGTTTAGTTTTAGTTAAACAAATTGTAACTAACTTGAAGTTCAAAATTATATTCCTATATTCAATGAGAGGTATGAAGAAAATTTTCAAGATGGATTGATAATTTGAAAAACTTCTATGAGCATATTATTTTTAATTCTAAAATGCTCAAAGTTGCAAAAACAAAATGAGTGGATTATATTCAATTAATTTAGTGAAGTGGTTTAAGAAAAATGAAATCAACATGGGCTGACATTAAATATGAGCTTAAACAAAAATATGTACCACTTGATAAATAACATAGGCTAAATTACATAATCCATTTTAGTTGTAAACAACCTATTTTAATATGCTTGAATATTATAAATAACTTACACATCTTATATCCAAATGATTTGACTTTAATTACCATTAACTTCATTAAAAAAGTTAAGTGAGAGTTTAACAATTAGCTAAAATTAGCTAATGCTAAATTCACATGCTAAATTCACAAAAAAAAAAAAATAACATATGAGACTTATCTAAATCTTTTTATATTGGGGCAAGCTACAATCAGCCAACAAAAGCTGTAGCACCTATGGCAATTCTTAAGGAAACCTGAAAATATTTCATCCAAAGGCTATTAAAAAAGACCAATGCAAAAATTATGTATTTTTGACTTTGATTCTATTAAAGAATTTGTTGTATATAATTTCTGAGAGTATTAATTAGATAGATAATACAATTTATAATTAGATTCTCCATCTAAAGCTGATGTTGGATATAGATGTACATTCTCAATGGACCATATTTAAGAGCTCAAATATATATTTGATCACGAGTAAAAAATTGAATATAAAATTTAAATTAAACATAAGATCACAATAGTATCTAAACTTCCCATGAGAATTGAGTTATTATTGAATGTAAAGAAACCAACATATCTAACAAAAAGAATGAATCAAATAAGCAATTTGAAGCTTTAAGTTCTGAGTATTATTGATTGATATTGCTCTTATAATGGATGATCAAATTGACATTTACTTTGTTTTTGGGATTGTGGTCTAGTTAAATAAATTTTTAAAATGAAACTCAAGACAAGTTCCAAGTGGAGTTGATATTTCAAGACATTTGTAAATAGTAAGTTCCTTAAAAGAAACTTAAAAATATAGAAGTCTATCCATCAAATCATCCCAAAATAGCATAATTCATCAATTCTAAATTTTAGACTATTTTAAGGGAATGTCCATTTATATAGGCATATACTATAATTAATTGTGTGGTTTGTTCACTTGGTAACATTTCATTAGGATTTCAATTTCTAAGACTTATAAATATGTCCTTATTAGATCCCTTAGGATGCATATTAGCATATTGGTATTTTATTACTTGCCTCACATCATTTGCATAACTTTCATGATCTACATGAATTATATGAAAGTAGTAGTTAAGAAAATAGCTACTAATTAGCATAGGTTTATAAGCTTTCTATTGATGTGAACATGCGACTCGAGGAGTTTATTTGATTATAAAATTATACTGAATTTTAGAAAGGCTTCCATTAAAAATCCTTAAAAATTTAAATCCAAGAAAGGTGAAGCCATGTAAAATATTGCAACACTTTGAGCCTTTAAATTGTTTGCTAGTGTTGCTAAATTGACTACTAATTGCTCCACTTCTTCTATATATATTCATTTGATAAATACGGGTCAAATTATTTAGTGGTTTGTGATCTGTGAATCCTATATTCCTCGTGTGATTTACGTATAATGCATCATTCTAACTGTAATAGGAAATCTTTGACTAAATTGTCCAACACTAACTAGGCAGAACAGTGTTTGCTGATGACAAACAATTAAAAGAAACTACAATTAAGCTTTTAATATTAAAAAGATTGATTATTTATGTAAATATCTTAACGAAATGAGAGCAAAGAGAAAATTCTCTTAACCTCCATTTTTAATTTTGCAATATAAGACCTGTGTTCCCACACCTTTCTTTAAGAATTAGACCTAGTTTAGATCCTATTATTGTATAAAATAATGTCAATAGCTCATTTAAATTTAAAGAATCTTGGAAAGAAAAAACAAGAAGCCAGCATTTTCCCCAAATTTTCTCCTAAATGTGGCACTTATTCCATAAATTCAAATCCAACCACAAGTATGCTAATCACCACAGCTAGTCTGGTTAAAAGCTTCTGAGTCAAGCAGCTTAATCACCATCATAACTATTTTTGCCTGAAAAAACTCTCAAGAGTAATGTCTTCAATTTGGCAGACTTCAACATTAATAAACTAGCTGTTTAACCATCTTATTGTATGCACAGGTAAGCTATTCTTGCTCATTGATACATTTTGGATCATCTTTGTTTTGATAACAATGCAATTTTTCAAACTAATGCAAAAAAAACATAATACAATTAGATTGATCACCGACCAGAGGTGAGATAGCGAGCAACACCAACACCCACGTTAGGAGGAATAAGAATTACTTTCTCATTTAGCTTCCAAAGAAGGATAAATGCGATGACATACCTGTTAAAATGAGTATGAATTTAATATAAAAAAAGCTTGGTTAGAAATGTAAAACTACAAAATAAAATTTTAAACGTCAAGTCAACAATACTGTTTTCAAAAGCATCTCATGAGCAAGATATACTCTGAAACTACAGTGGCTATGGCAGCACCCCCAACGCCTAGACCAAGATAAAAAAGTAACACAACGTCCAAAGCTACATTCAGTAAGTTTCCAATAGCTGCATCATCAGACCAAAAGTTAAATAAGCATTTTAAACAAACATCATAAGTATGTATTGTTAGAGGAAAAAGATGTAAATGATAAAAAAATAAATCAGGATTAATCTTCCCTCTACTTGTTGCATAAAATATAATTTTACTTGGATTAAATGGTTAACTTGCAAGGATCATTGCTAAATATATGATGAGATTTTACCATTTGCAGTTAGTTTTCCAAATAATAATCATACAAGTTAATAACTTTTGTAGATCTTTTGATCAAAACAATGGCTAACAGCAATTAAACACAAGCAGGAAGAACAACAACCATAAAGTTAAGAAAGAATAACTGAGTTTTATTGCCGAAAGAAAAATTGAGAGATGTAACAACATCAAGATAACAGCTGAAAAGAAGGATAGTAACAGTTAACAACATCAAGATAACTAACAGCTGGCAGGAAAAGAAAACAATGGTGTTGATATAACCACCAGAATTTAAACTACCAAGATATGCTGGTTACTATATCTGTAACTAAAATCTTATACTGTCTATAAATACATACAACGTACTCTTCATTGAGATATATGAATTACTGCATGTACTGTATCTCCTACCTGTCTTCTCTCTTTTCCTTATTGTCTTTATGGTATCAGAGAAGGTGCCTATTTAAATTCAGGCAACCTTGCGATCTACTGGCAAGCATGTCCATTCTTCTTCCTGCTATCCCTTCAATTCTCTTCCCACAACTACCTTCTTCTCACTGCTACTTCCAGGTAACCGATCTGTGCAACTTTTGTATAAACTGATCATCTACTTCTCCCATGGCTGATTTCAGAACTCTAAAACACAGATATATACATCCCTTGAACTCATTCAAACCATCGATATCCCTCCATTACTCAAATTTCTCATGAATAATATAAAAAATCTGACCCAAACTCAGTTATAAGGCTTTAATTACCCATTTTGGAAAGCCCAAAGCACGAAAGTCTTCACCGCAAATACATTTATGAGAGTCTTGGATGGCAATACTCCTTGTCCTCCCAAATTCACATTCAACACAACTGCTTCTCCAACTCCACACACAATATACATCTTGGCTTATCATTTATCAGAATTTGGTCGCGGCCCTATATTCTTTCTCCATCAATTCAACCATATGCTCTTAATCTCACAACCATGGCAGACATCTCATTAACCTTACCGAACGGATGACAACCCACTAATAGGTTGTCTCATACAACTCAAAATGAGTTACATAATCTATGCATGAAATCCCAAACCATGACTCAATACTTGCCTACCATCAAATCCCTTGTTGATAATATTTCAATAGCTAGAGCAAAACTTGATCAATAGGATATTTTCCTCTACACATTAAATATATGTCACGACCCGACCAAGAGCTTAGAATTAACCAAGGTGGGACCAGATGGTTGGATGATAGAAATTAAATATTTTCTATATTCATTTTCTATAACTAATATTTAACAAATGAAATAGACACAAAAAAATTTAAACAATACTGTTAGAATATACCTCAATTCTGATTATTCGCGTTTTCTATAAACATTTTCTCTTTTATTGCTCATTTTTTTAATCGATTAATTAAACCTGAAAAGTTAGTTTAAAATAATAGTAGGCTAAACAAAACTAGTGAATACTCTTACTCATAAACTATAATAACACAATGAAAAAGAAACAATATGCATGCCGATTAAATTTTAAGTAAATTAATCTAAAATTATTTGAAGGTTTGTGCTATCTAGTAAGATCTTTCAATATAATTATAAACATGAACTATATCATACTGTATCGTTTACAATATTTTTTAAAATTTGTATACAATCATTAGAGGAGCATGGCCTAAACATGTACAATTTAAGGTATTTCAATATCAATATCTATTCTATTTACGTGCACGAGTACCTTAGCGTTCCCCCTCTATTACCATACAGAAGTGACTCTATCATAGTCAATCATACACATGCTATTAATCAACATAGTAAATCTAATTCTTATTTTCTATTCATATCATTCAATAACCTGAATTATGCATTTAAATGACGCACAAATATAAATGACATACACTCAATATGGTCAAATGAACTTAAAGAGCCAGTAAAATCTAAGTCATAGAATAAATCGAATTTAGAAGAAATCAAATATTATTATAATTTAAAAGTATAAGTACTCACTTGTTCAACTTGTTTGTCACACTGATTCCCTAACTTTTGGCCTTCTATAATCAAATGTTCTTCAACCAAAATTGATTTTAACATTAACATTTTTATTCAACATTAATTTTAAATTAAAAAAAATTAAACGTTAATTAAAACATACATCATCTTTCAAAATGATTTGATCCTCGATCTTGCAACTGTATCTCCATAATTATGTCTTGATTTGAGATACACCTACTATTAATACTTAAAGGATAAATTTGAATATTCATATTAGATTCATTAATTAAATTAGTACAACCTTAAATCACAAAATTGAGTTTCACTAGACATTTACTCTCCACTTCATGCTCGTGACTCTTCCTTTTTCCGCATAATGGAAGTTTGTGTCACCTTACACCCTCCAATTTGGGGCTTTATAACTTCTATCATATTTCAAGTAACTTCTATTAACACATTATTTAAATAAATATATACTCATACATACACACACAATTATTCATATAACAATATATTAACTTATTAAATTATTAAACATATTTTTTTATGTTTTGGCCTTTGCCCTAGCTCCACACACGACCCTTGTCTCCTGCTTCGGTCGATGACCTTCCAGCCGCTCCTCTTCTTCCTCAACAGATGAAGGCGGCGTGACATCTTTCTCCTCCTTCGCAGGGTACCACCTTATGAAGTCGCAGCTTCCTCCTCTACTTACCACAAGCAACACAAAATAGTATCGACTTCGTGGTGTTGGATGAAAGACTCCTCGACGAGGCCGCCAATTAGAATAAGAAACAACCAAACCTTCTTCTTTCTTTTGTCTCCTCACTCTTCACTTCTCTCGCTTGCTCCCTCTCTCTCTCTTGTCTCCTATTCGTTTATATCGTTACATTGGTTCGAAAGACGTGCCCATCTCATAATAAGAAATTGTTGAAACGCTTCGTTCAAACCGAAACAAGTCATTAGAATTAATTCTCTTTTATTCATTTTATTTCATATTTCAATGATTACAATGGGCTACTAGCATTCTACAAAGTGTTCAAGACAACAATTCGAACCCAAATTCAACCACTAGACCTTGATGATTTCTTTTCTCTCCTCTGTAGTGAGGAAATTAATCTAGCCAGGGATAATCTAAAATCAAAAGCTCAAACCAACTCACAACTAGCTCTTCAAATATCAAGAACTTACATGAACTAGGGGTCGTAGTTGTGGCCAGTCCACATCTATCTTGCACGGTCGCAATGGTCGCAACTCACCCAAGCTTGGTGTAACTTGCTAGATTTGTAACAAGCTCGTCATTTTGAGGATACCTGTTGGTATCATACTAATCTCAAGTACACATCCTCTACCAATCAGGCGCTAACAGTTTCAGGCTTTATCTAGGTTCTAAACTAAGTGTGATAGCCCATCTCATCTCAGATTTGAACCATCTTCAAATTATAACACCTGCAAATGGATCCAAATAAATTTTTATAGGAAATGAATAACAAGTTATTGTGCATCATACAAGTGGCAGGATACTACCTACTCCTACCCACAAGCTTCTTCTCCCTCAAATATGGCATGTTCCCTCAATATCCCACAATCTCCTATCAATTTATAAGCTAACTCAAGATAACTAAATGCCTATCTTATTTGATTCCAATGGATCTACCATATTTGACTCAAACATGTTAGTCACTTCAAGGTTGCAATTTTGACGGGCTATATCTAATAAATCCAGCACAACAAAAACAAACTATAGTTGCCTCTCCATCTGTTCCCTACATAAGCAATTGTTATGGCATAAACATCTTGGTCATCCAAATCAAGATATTCTCAAGACCCTATTCAAAATATATTATACTCTAGGCATCTTACGTAAGCCACAATCATGTAATAATTGCAATGAAAGAAAAAAACCATAAATTACCTTTTCCTCATACTCCTCACATACGAACAAGCCTCTCCAACTTATATATACCGATGTATAGGGTCCTTTCCCTATTATATATCATCAAGGTTATCACTATTATATTATTTTCATTGATGGTTACTCAAAGTTTTGTTGGGTATTTCCTATTGTTACAAAATCCAAGGCAATAAGCAAATGCAACTCAATCCTAAAAATGTTTAAAACCCAATTTCCTATGGTTACAATATTCTTACGGATGGAGAGGCAAATTCATGTGCACCAATCTCTCCCAATTCCTATATGACAATGGAATCACTCACCAATTCTATCATCCCATAACCAGAGCAAAATGGTGTAATGGATTAAAAACATCGTCACTTAATTGAAACTACCCGCACACTCATCTGTGATGCCTCTCTACCCTACACATTCTGGGTCAACACACTCCTAACCGTAGCTAATTTTATTAACCATATGCCATCCAAAAATGCTCATAACATCTCTCCATGTGAGTTGCCATATCATTGTAAACCTACATATACTCACCTTAGGGTGTTTGGCTCTTCTACCAATGGTTAATACCACAAGCATCTCCCAAGTTAACAACACCCAAATCAACATCTTGTTTATTTATGGGCTTCTCACTTGTACATAAAGGTTACAAGTGCTTTGATTATAAAACTAAAAAAGTGATTATCTCCTGTCATGTCGTATTTAATGTACAATCATTTCCTTACTCATCTCCTCACAATATCTCAACCATTACACCTTCGAACCCCAATATTAACCCACTACTTACACCATTCAACTACATAAAAACATACTCCAAATGCAACCCTCTCCAATCCCACATGTTATTCAAGTAGCCATATTGGAGAGAGGATGTGAACCCACGCGCGCGCGCGCACACACACACAAACAAAAATCTTGGTCATCATTGGA